GTGTCAACCTTTGTATTTTGCCATAAATATGAGTTATTATTTTACTTTGCGGCTATTTTTAGGTTCCAATGACACCTATGAGAATAGTGCAAAATTAAATTTATCACTACGAGAATTGAGAAAATATTTGTTTTTTTTCATGTAGTATTTCTTAATTAATATCTGATGATTATCTATAATTATTTAGAAGGTTTAAATGTTAAGGTTATTTACATATAATTCAAATAACTCAGATATTTAACATGGTTAATGTCAAATATCAAAATGGAGTAAAAACAATTCACTAGCTAAAGAATTGCTTATATTTTTAGATAGCCAACTAAAATGAGTTCTGAATTAAGAATAATATTTTCAATTACATTATTATAAAAATAATTATTATTGAAAAATAATGTTTTAGAAACTGAAATTTTAAGAAAGAAATATTTTTTAAGAAATATCAACACACCAAATAAGAGTTCAAGTAGTAGTAAAAGAGTTAAGTTTTATCCAAAGAGCCATTCATTGTCTCAACATTTGATTATTTTGCCATAAATATGAGTTATTATTTTGCTTCCTGACTATTTTTAGGATCCAATGACACCGGCAAGAATGGTATCAAAAAAGAAAAATAGAAGAAATGGTTAATTTTTTTCATGTAGTAAATATCCAATGATTATCTATATTTACTAAAAAAATATAAATTTTAAAATTATTTACATACAATCCAACTAAATTAAATATTTGACCGCACATCCGTACTAATACTAGTAAAGGCAAGAAAAGAAGATATTTCCTTTCTCCAATGTGCAACTTGGACTTGGCGGCTTGGCCATTTATCAAGCAAAAATTCCAGAACAACTTTCAGAGGATAAAGAGGAGGCTACTAGCTAGCTTCAAAAATCAAAATTGTCCACTCCCAAATCTTTTTGGGTCAAATTCCAAAGTATAGCATTAGCATACGAATTCGATATCATATATACGAACTGAAATGTTACCATTGTGTTTTTCCAATTACTCTCAATTTCTCTCCCCTTTAACCTCAACCTCGCGTCGCCGCCGGGCCCACCCCAGATTCACTACAACACTCTCTGTTCTCAAAACCTCTCGACCCGGTAATTGTTTTACTTCAATTTTACCTTTTGTTGAATGCATTGTAAGTTTGTAACTACCCTTTTTAGTGATTTCCGTTTTCTCTTTTATCTTTTTTGCATCAGTGAGTGAAGTTGCAGTGGATGACGTTTTTCAAGATTTCTTGAGAGAAAGAGAGTTAAATGGGGATATTATCTCCAGAATTTCTGATAGAATTTGGCTTAGAAATGTGGTAAATTTTGATTCCTTAGAAGCTGGAAATAGTGCAACTGAGGCTACACAGTCACAGGAGGTATTTTCCTGACTACCTTTTTTTTTGAAAATTTTAAGTTATATGCACTGAACGTGTAAAAATATATTTACACAATTAACTCACTTCAAAAAATAATTGCAAGTAACTCTATTTAATAGCGTTGATCGTTAATCTAGACTAAATGTCAAGTAACTTGTTATAACATGTTAAATTAAATTGATGGTCTAAAAAATTCATTACACCGTCAATGTATACAACTTTAAAATTTCCTTTTGTTTTATGGGTTTTTGGTGTTAGTTTGCTTCATATTTGAATATTGAAACAAGAAAATGCAAATGCAGGTATTGGGGGAAGATAGTGAAGGTGGGTTTTTGAAATTGAAAAGTACCAAAGAGTGGCTTTCAGGTGATGCCATGGCGCCAGTTAATAAAAAGAGGACCCTTAAGGTGTTTATTTACAAGTTTTGTGTTTTTTTCTTCTTTTCAGTGGAGCTTTGAATATTCTTAATTATGAGCAATGGAATGAGTAGTAGTAATATTTTTGCTATTGACGCTTCTAATGATATGCACAGGAAATACAAGATGATAGGGAAAGAAGGAAAAGGCTAAACTTTCTCAGATATGAAGCTGTATGTATCCCTCAGTCAAGCCTCTTACTACATTCATGCTCTTTATATTTATAATAAATGTTTATATTTGGCAGCAATGGAATACCAGTGTAGTCGGTTTAGATAGTTGAGACGCTACTCTTAATCTCTCTTGCGGGTTATCATCATTATTGTGGTTCATGTTGTCTTATTTACTTGTGGCGAAAGGGTGTCCAAAGGAAAATCGGCTTCTTGTATATTGTTATCACTTTGTAATTGTTCTTCTGTATTCGTATTATCTCCTAGTTCCAATATTTTTTTTATGGTTAGTGGAGAAAAGGGGATATTAGTATAGATAATTTGTTGACAAAAAGGTAGAATCTGAATGGTTCCATGAACACGTACTCTATGCATATTTATAGCCTGCTTGGCCCAGCTTCTCCAAGCCAAAAGCACTTTTNCCTAAAGTTTCGTCATGTGAATTTTTGAGTTTTGAACATCGATTTGGAGTCGGACTTGAGTGAAACTTGTATGGTTGGACTCGTAATTGAATGAGTTGTCGAATTTTGTATGTTTTATCGGGTTCCGAGGTGCGGGCTCAAGTTTTGACTTTTTGGCCGATTTTGGGCTTTTGATTAAAGATTCGTCCTTTATCGATTGGGTTTACTTCTTTGGAATTATTTTATGTATTTGAGTTTTTTGGTTAGTTTTGAGCCGTTCTGAGGTCGGTATGCGCAGGATGGCATTTGTGGAGTATTGTTTGGCTTGCTCGGTATTGGATTTGGCTTTTTTGAGGTAAGTAACTCTTCTAAACTTAGTGCTGAGGGTATGAAACCCCGAATTACATTCTATGTGATTGCTGTTGAGGTGAAGTACATGCTAGGTGACGGGCGTGTGGGCGTGTGGGCATGCACCGTGTGAATTGTGACTCCGTCATTTCTATGGTACTGTGTAGTTACCTGATCTTACCTGTAACCATGAAATTTCTACGTACTTGAGCTATTAAGGTGTGATCCATGTTAGACACCATGTCTAGGCTACATGTTTATCCGGACCCACTGAGGTCATTTCTGCTATTGAGTTATTTGCTTTCATTGCTTTATATTCTCAGTCATACGCATTCATATGCATATCATATCTCAGTCACTATTGTTATCTATTGATACATCATATCATTATTTTTGGGCTAGTTCATGGCATTGTGAGCTCAAAAGAGAGAGACTCGAGAGATTGATGAGTGAGTGAGGCCGAGTGCCTGATTGTGAGGATATTGATACTATATCACGTGAGTTGTCCGTGCGGATTCTAATATTATTACTATAGCATGTGAGTTGTCCGTACAGATTCTGATATTGATACTATAGCACGTGAGTTGTCCGTGTGAATTCTGATATTGATACAAACGTAAATGTGCAAGAGGATCTCCCGAAATACCGTTTCGTAGTCCCAAAGTAAATATGCAGGGGATCTCCCGGGATACCATCCAGTAGTCCCAAACGTAAATGTACAGGGGGATCTCCCGGAATTCCATTTCGTAGTCACAAAGTAAATATGCAGGGGATCTCCCGGGATACCATCCCGTAGTCCCAAAGTAAATATGCAGGGGGATCTCCGGGATACGGGATACCATCCAGTAGTCCCAAAGTAAATATGCAGGGGGATCTCCCAGAATACCGTTTCGTAGTCCCAAAGTAAATACACAGCTCAAACAATGGAAATAGTGGCTACAACACGAAATCCTATAGTTTAGACAAAGTACAAGTCAAGGAAGAAGTAGGGAATTTACTAAGCATGCTACACAGAGTTCAGATAAGCATTTAAGACACGTAAACATGCTATTCTAATCTAAACAGGAGAATTACACATTCTAGTATAACTCAATTAAAGTGAAACATTTTATTACTAAGTGAAAAATAGAGTTTTACAGCAAATAGCACGTGTATGCACTCGTCACTTCTGGTACAAGGCGCTCAAATATCGCAACAGTACCAATTCCTAAGAGGAGTTTCCCCCACACAAGGTTAGGCAAGTCACTTACCTCGAACCAAGCTCAATCAACCGGTAACAATGCATTTTCCACGAATATCCGACTCCGAATGGCCCAAATTTAGCCAAAAGTAGTTAGATATCATAAATACAACTATAACAGACTAATCTAATTAATGAAATCAAGACATTAATAAGAAATTCAAAAATCGCCCTGAAAACTTAAATTAGTAAGTGATAATTTGGAAAATATAAATCTATGGTGAGGATATTTTGTCTTGAATAAATTAATTTTCTACTTCTATTTCTGCTTCTTGGAAGAAGCTAGAATTTTCTACTTCTTCCCAAAAGCAAAAAAACTGCTTCTGCTGTTGGCCTAAAGTACTTCTCTATATTGGCAAAACAATTTAAGTTTTTAAAAAAAAAATACTTTTTTGAGAGAAAACAGTACTATTGGCCTCCCAGAAGCTTGGCCAAACAAGCTCTTAGTCTGAGCTGTTGAGTGATTTACAAGACCTCTACTTATTTATGGTGCTTGCATATTCTTGTAGTTGCTGGCTGGAATTCATCAGGTGTCTCCTAATAATTTCGTGTCATAAAGCATGAAAGATGGGAGTTCTTAAGTAGAAGGCACCTTAGGCTATACCTAGATAACATTTCACCTGCTGCTTAGAGTATATGAAAGTGACGAGGAAAAGATTTCAAATGTTATTACTCTCACTATGAAAGCATGGTTAAATGAAATTGTATCCCAATTAAAAGATTGTTGAAGCGCACAGCAAAGATATCTGCAAATGAGCTATCTTATGTTCTAAATCTACAAGGTATAAATCATTTTCTGTTTCTCTTGCAGCTTAAGAATGAGCTACTTTACTTAACCGTGGGCATTGGAACTGCTTGCAGTGGATATTGTTTGGTAGCTTTATCAGTCCAGGTATTTTGTAGAAGAGGTTCTGAGGTCGAGACATTCTATAATAGAAGGCATATAGTTTAACCTTAGAAGCATTAGTGGCCACGGTACTTATAAGAAAAAAAAACATTAATGGCCATGCTTACTTGTGCTATATTAACCTAAATCTTCACTTTAGCTGTGGGAGCAGTGAGCACACATGCATGTAAATCACAATAGGTGATTGATTTACTGCAATTGGGAAAGCTTATAATGGAGAGAGTGAGCCACCGAGTTTCATACTCTCTTTTACAGTCTCTTCTTCTAATAAACCACCCTATCAACTTAGTAGAACATCTCACAACAGCTGCAGTTACCATTGATGCCCAGTTTTTGTTCCTATTGGAAATTTCTTTACATTTCCACTGCTTTATTGACTAAAAAGAAACTGGTTTTGTTTTGTTATTCCTTTTTCACTGGGTTATTTATCTTGTCTACCTTATGAAAGAGGTCCCAGGTTAGTATAAACCTGCATCTGAAGTGGACTGACAGATTTACTTGTTTAATCCATAGGCGGCTTTGAGCTATGCAACTGGAGTTGTTTTCAGGTATGATTTAGAACTATTTTTTACTCTATCTATCCTGTTTATAGATCATCCTAGTACTTGTAAACAACCTAGTTTGGCACATAGGCAGTAAAAAATGGATAGCTTATAATATTAAGAAATATGCTTTTACATCATCTAGACCTTACAGTACTTAGTTGTGATAGGATCTTCACATTTCAACTGTTCTCTTTTCTTGAGGATATGTTTCGATAAAATTGGCCACATCATATTCGACTCGGCTTATTTATTTCTGGTAATGTTGTCTGTAATTTCTTATGCAGTTACGTGTACCTGCAGCTCCTCTGCCAACATGCAGACAACCTCTCACAAGAGACAGTTCCTGAGATTTTTAAGAAAAAGAAACTAAAAAAGTAATTCGATAACTATGTCTTCATTTGGTTATGCTCCACATGAGAATGGTGAACTTCACTGACTGAAGTGATCTGATACTCTTCCCCCCTCAGAATTGGAATACGAAGCCAAGATCTGCAGGATTTTTTTGAGAGATCGGTAAAAGGCAGCAGCATAGCTCTTTCATCTCCCAGGCTTGTGTTTCCTGCAGCAATATATGGATTGTGGGAATTGTGTCAGCATTTTTTCCATGATCTTTTCGATTTCCAGGTGATGCTGTGTACATTTACAACATTTAAATTAACACCTATTTAAACCTTTAGAATCTTGACTTATTTAAGCTATCCTCTGTTTGATTCATCTGGTTGTGGTTTTTCATAAGTTAATGTGACATATTTTTGGGATCTCAACAGCTGGTTCCTGCTATGGTTGGGTTGTTTGCGTATAAAGCAGCTGCTCTGGTGCAAGTGTACAGGGACAATGAAGACCTACAATTTCTTTTTCCTGAGAATGAAGAAGGGTCAGCTAACTGAATATGTTACTAATAAATGTTACTTGTTGAAGCCATGGCGAAGTTGGATGCCTGCCTAACTACGCCTTCTGGGTAATGACTCCTTTTTTAACTTTTAGTCATCTCAAAATTTTTTCGATGTACCAAAAATACCTTTTTGCGAGGACTTCTCTCCTTTCAATTTTCTGATCCATATGATTTTCTAGAGAATTGACCTCCATGAACTTTCCAATGAATGCAACTAAGAATCATTTCAAAAGAAGTTGGAAACGTACCTCAAATACTTCTTCTTTTGCGGTAAAGGATTATATGAACTCCATGAAAAAACCTTGAAAAAATTACATGAAATTTACATATATATTAATGCAAGTAATTGGAAATATGCACTTATTCGATATACTTTGTAATTCTATATACATTGCTATACAGACTTATTTACATATTGTATTGCTCACCAGTAAATCTTACTTTGTCAATGAATTTCATGTGCTTATCAACAACAACAACAACCACCCAGTATGATCCCACAAATGGGGTCTGGGGAGAGGTAGGATGTACGCAGCCTTACCCCTACCATGGAAGGGCTGAGAGGCTGTTTCTAATAGACCCTCGGCTAAGAAGGTGAGAGAAGCCCTGATAGCAAGTAATAGCAATAATTAGAAAACTAAATCGAAGATAGAAACAAAGAATATGAAACGGGTACCGATAACAAGTAATAGCAAGATAACATATTTAGAAAACTAATTCCACGGGAGCAAACGAGAATCCTTGCTTCTTCCGTACCTTAGAGTTCTTTGGGGCCAACAATTCTGTGATCAGTTTTGCACTTCTGATATTATTTAATGTTCTCACCCTCCCAAAATGAGGTTTGTTTAATCATTTCAAATTCATTGGATCCTTTTCTATTATGAGGATCCCTCCTTATGGTGAGACGTCTTAGAGGTTTCATCATAGACATTATGTATTAGAAAACTAGGTGCCAATAGTCTGCTGTCACAAGGGTAGCTTTCGGAGATACTATTAAAGTAGTTTAGATAGCAAGTGGTTATATAGTAGCACTTCTTTAGCTTTAGAAGTACACAAGGAGGATGTAAGTGAATTGGCTTTGAAGATGGGGAATGACCTGGATCATGTTCTCATGAAAGGTATCTACAGAAAGAGGTGGTTGTTACTTATCAACAACACACACACAGACACATCATATAAAATAAAATTAAGAGAGAGAGAGAGAGAGAGAGAGAGAGAGAGAGAGAGAGATGTTGTTATCCTTAGTACAAAGGTAAGCAGAAGCCCGTCAAAGGACTTCTTGGTCATGGTTTTGGCGCATGGTGATTGCAGAAAATTTCTTAGTTACAGATGAGACCATATTATCTGTTTAACCCAATATGAAAGTTATGTATCCTTACCTGAAGTCGAAATGTAGATAAAATGTTAACAGGAGAGGTGTACCGTAGCATCCTTGCCTAAATTTCAAATCACTCATAGGATCATATATCACATCTCTACTTTAACAGTTTGACGTTTAGTTTTTACATTTTATTTTGATCTTGCTGTTGGTGCTTGTTGTTGTTGACTATAATCTGTACATATTTCGGGTTAATGTCCTATCATTTGCTCTTTAACAACACCACTTTTTCTGCAGCATAATGGAGAATAACCAACGAACAGCACGCTGAGTTTGCAGAACATGGACAAGCTTTAATATATCCTGCCCGTTAAGATAGCAGGATTTAAGGGATGAATATTTCGCTTGTGCACTTCAAGAGTAAATAGTTCATTTGAAAGGGTGATCATGGGCATCCACGGAATCTTTTGCTGAGACAACTCTAGTAGGGTGTTATATATAGAAATATAGAGTACTGTTTTGACCAACTTCATGTGACTTGCAAGTGTTGATATATTCTTGGTTTCCCCTTTTTATTTGGAGTCACAAAGTTATGGTAGGGAATTATTGTATGTTTTGCACCATCTATGAACTGGTCAGATATATAACCGACTCAACTTGTTTGAGACTAAGACGTAGTGGTTAAGTCAATTGCTCTTTTGCGGCGTGCTTTGGTACATGCCTAGAAGAATTTGAATTAGTAGAGTGGGAGTTTCCAAAATCTTACCTTCCTTTCACGTCTTCAAATTATGTAATTTTATTATCTTTCTTTTACTCTATCCGTCTCATTTTAACTATCGTTTTAGCTCTTTTTTACGTCTATTAAGAAAACAATAAATATAAGGTTTAGTTTACTAAGTTACCCTTATTAAATGCTTTTTGAGAATTGAGCAATATTAAAAAGAGCTACACTATTTCTTTAATATTAAGACAAAGTGGAAGCGAAGAAGGCATCATACCTGAAGTTAGTAGGGAGCACAAGCGAGGAGAAAAGGAGGGTGAACAAAGAGAGGTGTAAGGTAGCGAGGAAGGAGGCTAAGTCGGCGGTTACGGAGGCTATGACAGCGGCATCTGGTCGTATGAACGAGGAACTGGGAGGAAAAGGTGGGGATAAGAATTTATTTTGGCTGGCTAAGGCGAGAGAGAGGAAGGCTCGGGACCTGGACCAAGTGAAATGCATCAAATATGAGGACGGTAGAGTGTTGATGGGGGAGGCTCAGATTAAGCAGAGATGACAGACTTACTTTCATAGACTTCTGAACGGAGAAAGGGACAGGGATATTGTGCTAGGCGATATGGGGCATTTAGAGAGTCTTCGAGACTTTGAGTATTGTAGGCGCATTAAGGTTGAGGAGGCCGTGGGGGCTATACGTAAAATGAGTAGGGGCAGAGCGACGAGGAAGGGTGGTGGAAGTAAGGGTGAGGAGGATTGTGTCTATATCTGACAACCAGTTCGGGTTCATGCGGGTCGTTCGACTAAGGAAGCTATCCACATGGTCGTTCGATTAGGAGGTTGGTGGAACAGTACAGGGATAGGAAGAAGGATCTGCACATGGTGTTTATTTACCTGGAGAAAGCATATGACAAGGTCCCTAGAGAGGTTCTCAGGAGATGCCTGGAGGCAAAAGGTGTGACGGTAGCTTACATTAGAGCGATCAAGGACATGTATGATGGAGCTAAGATTCGGGTTAGGACAGTGGGAGGCGACTCAGAGCATTTTTCAGTTGTTACGGGTTACACTAAGGATCTGCGCTCAGCTCGTTCTTATTTTCCCTGGCGATGGATGCACTGACACACCGTATTCAAGTGGAGGTGCCATGGTGTATGTTATTCGCTGACAACATAGTTCTGATTGATGAGGCGCGAGGCGGTGTTAAAGACAAGCTGGAGGTTTGGAGACATGCCCTTGAGTCTAAGGGTTTCAAGTTGAGCAGGACTAACACAGAATATCTGGAGTGTAAGTTCGGCGCCGAGTAGGGGGAAATGGGCATGAATGTGAGGCTTGAATCACATGTCATCCCCAAGAGAAGTAGTTTTAAGTACCTGGGGTCGATTATGCAGGGGACGAAGAGTTCGACGAGGATGTCACACACCGTATAGGGGTGGGATGGATAAAATGGAGGTTAGCATAAGCAGTCCTGTGTGACAAGAAAGTGTCGCCGTTACTCAAAGGTAAGTTCTATCGTTATACCGGCCATGTTGTATGGGGCAGAGTATTGACCGGTTAAGAACTCTCATATTCAGAAGATGAAAGTAGCATAAATGAGGATACTAAGGTGGATGTGCGGGCATACTAGGATGGATAAGATTAGGAATGGAGTTATTCGGGAGAAGGTGGGCGTAGCTCCTATGGACGACAAAATGCGGGAAGCGAGGCTCAGGTGGTTCGGGCACGTGCGGATGAGGAGCCCTTATACTTCGGTGAGGAGGTGCGAGCGTTTGGCCTTGGCGGGTACGAGAATCGGTAGAGGACGACATAAGAAGTATTGGGGAGAAGTGATCAGATAGGACATGGCGTTGCTGCAGATTTCCGAGGATATGCCCTTGATAGGTGTGATGACCCAAAAGGTCATCACTTGTTTTTAAATTCAATTCTGTGTTTCGAGGCCTTAAAAACCTCTTTCAGCATCACCTCGATTTGCGTGCGCAGTCCGGGCGTGTAGTCGGAAGTCTATATGTGAAAATCTGTGAAAAATGATAAAATTTGGCTTTAAAATGAATAAGTTGACTTCGGTCAACATTTTGGGTAAACGGACCCGGACCGTGATTTGACGGTCCCGGAGGGTCCGTAGGAAAATATAGAACTGGGTTGTATGCCCGGAATCGAATTCCGAGGTCCCAAGCCCGAGAAATGAATTTTTGAAAGAAATTGTTTTCTGAAAAATATAAAGGTTTTTGAAAGTGAAATGTTATGTGAAATCTGTGGTATCGGGCCCGTATTATGGTTCCGGAGCCCGGTACAAGTTCAATATGATTTATATGTGTTGTCGGTAAAATTTGGTAAGAAACGGACTTGAAACGACGTGAATCGGATAGTTGTTGAGAAAATTAGAAATTTGAAGTCTTGAGAAAGTTTCATGATTTTGATGCTAAATTCATAGTTGTTGATGTTATTTAAGTGATTTGAATGTACGAGCGAGTCCGTATGGTATTTTCAGGGTGGTGTGCATGTTTGGTTTGGAGCCCCGAGGGCTCGGGTGAGTTTTGGATAGGCCACGGGGTAAAATTTTGGACCTAAGGAATTGCAGGCCTGCAGGCTTCGCATTTCCCAACCTCCCTTCGCAATTCCCAGTTCGCATTTCCCAACCTCCCTTCGCAATTCCCATAACTGCAGTCTGCAACTTTTTATACTTAGCCGAAAAACAACCCTTTTTCACATCTTTTCAAAACAAAAAACTCCCTAGGGCGATTTTCCAAGAACAACTCTTCTTCCAAATCGATTGTAAGTCAATTTTTACTAGTTTCCTTCAATCATTAACATCTTTTAACATTATTTCAACTCAAAATCAATGATTTTCATGGGTGTTTTGGGTAGAACCTAGGTTTTCCAAAAAAAAAAAAGAGGATTTGGACCTCGATTTGAGGTCCGATTTCAAAACAAATTATATATTTGAGTTCATAGGTGAATGGGTAGCCGGGTTTTGGTTCGAACCTCGGGTTTTGACCATGTGGGCCGGGGCTGATTTTTAACTTTTTGGGAAAGGCTTTAGAAAACTTATTTCCATGCATTAGAAATTGTTTATTTAGCATTCATTGATGTAATTAAGTAACTTGTGACTAGATACGAGCGAATTGGTGATGGAATCACGAGGTAAAGCTATAGTTGAGGCTTGAACTGAGTTCGCGGCATCGAGGTAAGTGTTTGGTCTTACCTTAGCTTGAGGGAATAGGAGTTTGATCTTGTATGCTACATGTTATGTGTTGATTACGACGTATAGGTGTGGTGACGAGTATCTATACGTCGGTGTCGAGCATGACCGTGAGTCTTAAATTGAAATTTATTGTGTTATTGAGAACTACTACGAATGCCTAAGTTGTTGACTCTCTGTGTTGAGCAAGGTTTATAATTATTCTCGTAGAGATTACTCATAGTTGAGCATTGGTGTTAGTTGAGGTAGTAGATGTTGGAACAAGTTTGGTTATAGCTGATTTTCCCTTGCCGGGATGTGTTCATTCTTATTGTTGACTCCCTTGCCGGGATAGTGTAGTTCTTATTGATCCCTAGCCGGGACTCTTGTTATGGTTGATGTTGATTGTATTTTTGGGTCGGGTTGCACGCCGCAACAATGACATATTTGGATCGGGTTGCACGCCGCAACAATGATAAATTTGGATTGGGTTGCACGCCGCAACAATGATATAATTGGGACGGGTTGCACGCCGCAACAATGACATATTTGGATCGGGTTGCACGCCGCAATAATAACATATTTGGATCGGGTTGCACGCCGCAACAATGATATGATTGGGTCGGGTTGCACGCCGCAACAGTGATAAATGATATGGATCGGGTTGCACGCCGCAACGGTGTTTTTTATATGTTGGGATCGGATTGTGCGCCGCAACAATTGTTGATACAAAGTGTTTATGGATGGACTATAAGTTCCTTGTTATTTCTTTGTAAATTCTAATTTGTCCTTGTGCCTTGTTCTTGATTTACTGTTGAAACTGATATACCCCACAACATGTACCCCCTCCCGTCTTTACTTGTTTATTTCTTTTTATATTCCGCTGTATATTATATAACTGCACATGTTTATTTGGTAGTCTGGTCCAAGCCTCGTCACTACTTCGCCGAGGTTAGGCTAGGTACTTACCAGCACATGGGGTCGGTTATGCTGATACTACACTCTGCACTATTTTGTGCAGATCCCAGTGCTACAGATTTCGGACCGCAATGAGGTTTCAGCTTCCTACTTACCAGGCGACCTGAGGTAGTCATGCAGGCGTTCGCAGGCCTTGGCGTCTCCCTCTATCTATTTTCCTGCTTCTCTTATGTAGTTCTAGAGACAGTATTTTATTATTTCTTTCAGACCCTTATTTGTAGTACTCTTAGACAGTCTGTGAAGTTGTGACACCAAATCTTGGGTGGTTTTGTGTGATGACCCAAAAGGTCATCACCTGTTTTAAATGAATTAATTTGGCCTTGGTCAATATTTTGGGTAAAAGGACCCGGACCCGTGATTTGACGGTCCCGGAGGGTCCGTAGGAAAATATGGGACTTGGGCGTATGCCCGGAATCGAATTCCGAGGTCCCAAGCCCGAGAAATGAATTTTTGAAAGAAATTGTTTTCTGAAATTGTTTATAAGGTTTTGAAATGAAACTTGATTAGAACCTGATGGTATCGGACCCGTATTTTGGTTCAGGCGCCCGGTACAGGTCTTATATGTGATTTAAGACGTTTCTGTGAAATTTGGTGAAAAATGGACCTCGTTTGACGTGATTCGGACCTAAATTGGAAAATTTGATGTTTTATGAAGTTTGAAAGAATTCATGGATTTTGAGGTTTAATTCGATCTTTATGATGTTATTTTGGCGATTTGATCGCACGAATAAGTCCGTAGGATGTTTTTGAGGTTGTGTGTATATTTGGTTTGGAGCCCCGACGGCTCGGGTGAGTTTTGGATAGGCCACGGGGTGCATTTTTGAACATAAAAGTTTGCTGGTATGAACTGACCTGCAGGCTTCGCATTTGCGAAGCCTGGCTCGCAAATGCGAAGGCTGCCTCGCAAATGC